TTCTTTTCAAGAATTAAATCTTATCTGCTGAAATGGCAGAGTTTAGCATCATTCACCCAGACCTATGAAGATTTAGAGGAAATGATGTTGGCTGAACAGCTAAAAGAGTCCATGTCAAAACCTCTCCAAACCTTTCTGACTGAGAATGGTGCGGAAAGAATTGCGGACATATTAAAGCTGGCTGAGAGATTTGATTTGGCACACCCTAAACAGGTGGGCGCCAGGGCAAAGATGCACCTTTCAAAATCCCCTCCCAAATTTACCGAAAAGCCAACAGAACGTAACACACATAGGGAACCTGAATTTCGTAATGGTAAGTTCAATACACCAAACACTAACAACACCAATCATAAGTACCATCCACAAGATAATCGAAGGGGTGACGGTCGTGGTCAGCAATCGTCAGAGTGGAGGGGCCGGCTTTACTGTAAGTATTGTCGTCTGAATACACATAATACAGCAGACTGCCGAAAGAAACCCCCTCAACTCTGCGCCGCCTGTTTAACTAATGATAAACAGGAAAATACCAGGATGAACTCTCATGATGGGGAGAGACCTCCTGTTGTAGATACCATTCTTTTGAACGGCAGAGAAGTAACCTGCCTGTTTGACACTGGTCTGTTATTCGATGCCTTGGTTTCTACCGAACTCGTTGACCCAACGCAGTACACTGGGGAGTTTTTATAGAGATGCAGACTGCTGCACAGGAGTCTGAGACATTAAGATTACCTCTTGCCAAGGTAAACATTGACTGCAAATATGTAAAAGGAACTATTGTCGCGGGTTGTCTCCCTAACCCAATATTTCCCGTTTTACTAGGATGCAAATATTTGTATCTTGCAGTTCCAAAGACGCCTATGCTAGTTGGGGCCATGGATACCCGGTCATCAACCAAAGCATCAGCAGTATCTGATCCAGAACCCCAGAATCCTTTACCAAAGGACATAAGTGCTGCGCAACAACAGGACTCATCATTAAAGTCCTGCTTTAGGAAGTTGCCTTATGCCCATCAACCTCCTGAAAGAGGAGACTTCTATATGAAGAAAAATTTATTGTACCGGAGAGCGGGGATAGCAGAACGAGAGTATGGCCAACTCGTTGTTCCCTTGCCCTACCGGAAAACTATCCTCCATATGGGACACACACTAGCATATAGTGGCCATATGGGGATAGCGGCAACTTCCCAGAGAATTTCCTGTCATTATTATTGGCCAGGAATGACGGGGGACATAAGGAGATATGTACGCTCGTGTCCAGAATGTCAACGAGTATCTCCGAGACATTCAAACCCGCCGGTAACATTGGAGGACATGCCCATTATGCATGAGCCTTTCCAAAGAGTAGCGGTCGACATCATTGGACCTCTGCCTCGGACGAGGAAGAGGAATGTTTATATCCTAACGATAGTCGATGCTGGCACATTGTGGAGTGAAGTGGTAGCGCTGCCCACAATCGATGCGAAGAGAGTTGCAGATGCTCTCATTACAATATTCACTAGACTAGGATTTCCTAACCAAATCCTAACTGATAAAAAATCCCAGTTTCGGGGAAAACTGATGGAATATGTACTCCAGATTTTCCAGAACAGCCATATCCCTACGAGTCTGTACCATGCTCAGAACCAGGGAACAGCAGAGAAATTGACTAGACCTCTAATCACTCTTTTGAGAGAATTGTCTCAGATAAAAGTAGACATGTGGGATGAATATCTTCCAGCAGCCCTCTCTGCATATAGGGAAGTTCCCAATACCACAACAGGTGTTCCTCCAGAGACCTTGTTGTTTGGTCGTCCAATCCAAGGGCCATTGTCAGCCCTGTTGCAGTCATGGACGAATGAGAAGTTGGACCAGACTGTGGTAACCACTTCCAAATACGTGGAAGAACTGAAAGCGAAAATAAAATTAGGCTGGAACTTGGTTGGAAAATGCTGGAAGAAAATTAAAGCAAAGTTGACTTCTAATTTTAGAAGAAAGGTGAAAAGTAGGAATCTGAAAGTGGGAGATAAAGTTATGGTGTTGTTACCATCAGTCAGTGATAAAATGGAAATTGGTTTTCAGGGACCTTTTCCTGTGGTGGATAAAGTTTCCCGCAGAAAGTTTGCTATTTCCATAAATGGGAAAGTAAGAAGTTTTCATATAAACTTACTTAAGAAATTCCAAGAGAATATGTTTGGTTCTCCGTAACGGGGGTTATCCATTTAGCTAATGGGGTACTGAATCTTGAGGTAGTGATATTGCATGGAAAAGGTAACAATATCTAGATACACACATAATATAATCAATGTCAAATGATTTCTTGAAATAAAAGAATTGTATATATCAAATTCAGTTCTCAAGAGAGTAAGGACACGATCCTTGTGGGAGACTCCGCACAGCGCAGCCATCCCTGACTGAATAAATGATACCTTCTATTATAAAGAATGAAAGTTGAGTCACTAGGTAACTAAAATATTAAATTAGTTTGGCGACTTTAACTTAATGATATAAAATAATTCTTCTTTTACGTTCGGGTCTCAAATGAGCGAGAACATGTGCCATGTGAGAGGTTTTGCTAGCTAGCTAGGAATCCTCCCTGACTGAAAAGTTTTCGGTTCTCGAGCGAGCTTGGTCTTGATTCTTGTAGGAGATTTCGTCAGATGACCGAAATTCTGCCCTAACCGAATGAGATGATCTAGATACACATATAAGCACCGGAATTCCAGCAATCACTGTAACATACATGTAGGCTCTTCCCGAGAGGAAGTAACCTCTTTAGTTGAGAACTCTCCGTTTATTTTTAAACATCATCATTCGGGCACAATGTCCACAAAATTAAAATTTTATACACATAAATTTTATATGTGCATAGTGGATGATGAAATGTGTGAGATTGCAAGAAAATAATAATTTGATTTTTTAACTCTTTGGGAACTGAAATTTCCTCTATTTAAATTTCGTAACTGAAATTTTCTTTTCCGGGGGCATATGTGACAAACCCAAGGATAATTTCAGTCCGGCAAGAGTTAATTGCAAGTTTTAGTTAAAAGAGAATTGCGCACGTAAAATAAATATATTTAAACATAGACGCTAAAAGAATAAAAAGGTACAAAGGCGCACATAATTTATGACGTTTTGTGGTGTTACTAGGAGACCTAATTTCGTCACAACACAGAACGATTGCCAGCCATACCATCGGCCTCACCCACAATAATAATACCATATACTATTTCAGGTGAGATTTATAATGGTAGGGAGTAGCTGAGATCCCCTATAAGCCTTAACTGTATCCTAAAATATTTTATTGAGATCCTACTATCCTATATTCTACCATTGTATAAATATTCCGTAACTTCATCAACCTTGATACTTGTCCGTTGGACAATTCACTAGTCCTTACATATTATGACGTTCTTAAAGTTACTATTCCCCGTTAGGACTATTCAATAGCGAACCCTTCTTCCCTCTGTCACTCTTATATTCATTCGGTCTACTTGCGTAAAGATCTTATAGTAGAAACCGTGATCCTGTGCCATGTGGTATCATCAGTGTGGGTATACATTATATTGTTTATGTCATTATATTATGCAATACATGATTTGAGTAAAAGTCGTCAGCTTTGTGGGCATATCGGGTTGGCCTATGTTTATAGACCAAGTGGTACCTAGGTGTTGATGTGGTCAACATCACACCTGCCGCCTTTACTTCCCATTACTATACCTGGTGTCCGTTAAGGCGAAGTCGACCTGGGTTTTGGGACTCGAACTAATAACTGTCCAATCCGCAGGCGAATGTGTGTCCGCTTAATTATGTCAAGTTTTATATGATCGTGCCATAATTTAGATAGGTATAAACCAACATATTATAATAGGGTGGAGATGTATAATTTTGATTTACTTGTAGGGAAAGACAACATATGAACCTTGTTCTTTCTTGCTTACTACTCTGAAAAACACCACAGACACCGCAACACCTCCACCTGCTCCAGATGTGTCGACATAATGCTCAACACAGGGCTGAATGATGTATTCCGCAGGTTCCCGTGTTACCGTAGTCCTGCCTGCCTGTTTACCAGAGGACCAAAATCCCGTGCTCCCGTATTCAAGTCTGCCTGTTTACCAGAGGACCATAATCCCGTATTCCCGTTTTACGCTATGCCTGTTACCTGTGGATTGTGAACCACCATCCCTGTTACCTGTGGATTGTGAACCACCATCCCTGTTACCTGTGGATCGTGAGCTGCCATTCCTGTTACCTTGTGAATTGGGAACCAGACGGTATAGAATGAACAACCGAGATCTCACAGATGAATGTCGCAGTTAGGCGAGGACTATAACAGTCGCAGCCAGAATCTTGTACATTCCTCCCAGAGAAGCTGCAGTTGGACACATCCCGTATATCGTAAAGCTGAGTGCTGAGTGTTACTGAATATTTGTATAAATTAATGTGGTGTCATGATGATACATTTATTTATTTTCTCTGTGTTAATTTGAAAATTGTTGAATTCAATATCAGTATTTTATCAATACAGTTGTGGTTTAGAAATTCCATTTATTGATTTCATCGTATCAAATTTACTTCTTAGGTAGACTAAAGATTGTTCATTGCAATTTATTTGAGTTAAATTTACAAAGTTTTGACTTTGGTGGTTTTTCTGAATTTCTTTAGGACATTTTCGGGGATTCACCCTATTCTTTAACTTTCTGTATTCTCCTTCCTCTATTTTCCAGAACTCAGGGACCGTTATAATTCCCCTAGACTTATTTAATTCGAGCCCTGTAAGTTAATTTGGAAGGATATAGGGGATCTCCAGGCGACGATAGATTCCGCCAAAAAATAGTTGATTACAGCGGGTGATATCTGCAGCAATGAACCTCAAGGGCTCGGAATGCTGAAGAAGAAAAAGTGTTTTCATGATTAAATTACATATATTAAAATAATATCAGTGAAGTTGTGTTTGCATACATACTTTCACTGCATATTTGGTGGAGGTGTTGACAATAAAGTCACAATCTATTAACATACCTGTTGTACTTTCGGAGCATCTCTGACCTTAGCTTCAAAGGTGAAATCTTGTGGTGAACAGTTCCTATTTGAGGATCCAGGGGACTGTATTGGTGACTGATGATAAGATACTAGACTGTTTCTGTTGAACTCATGCTGTTTGTGTGATAGTGCTGTTCCATAAACTTGAACATCAGTGGGTGTTGATGCTTTAGTTGTAATTACTGGTGCGGGCATACACTTTTTATAGTCAGAATGAGTCTTCATTAAAAAGGCTGACGCAGATGTTGGGGAAAACGCTGAGGATGATACTCTTGATGGAATACTGCAGCCTGAATCTGAATTCTGCATACTATAAGTAAAAACAGGCCCAGAAACAGAACTTTTCTCATAAGGTTGTCTCTCTGAGTTTCCACAAAATATGTCTCTTACACTGGGCTGAGCCCTCTGTGGCTTGTGACCAGGAGAAAAAATTATGGCTGGAGATCCTGATATATTCTGACTCTGCTGACATTTAGTTTTAGGCCATGTGCCACTGTTACTATCAAGCTCCCAGTCTCGTTTACGAGTATTTGAAGGTTTTGCTTTAGAAATTACACAAGCGGTGCTGAATATGTTGTTTGCTGTGTGGTCATACTCTACATTACTGGGGAATTCTGCAATGACGTTTTCTGTGCTGGATAAGTTGACTTGAGTGCCATAATCATCATCAAGTTTGAGAACAGATTTATCCTGGTCATGGCGTCTCTGATAAATTTCATCACCTGTCTCTTTTCTTACTCCACAGTCTTTGTCTCTATCCTGACTTTTATGTCGAACACGAAAAATTCTCTCCACCTTTTCTTTAGCTTTATCTAATATAGGCAAGCTGTGTCTTACTTTATCTGGTTCGTGGTTATGAAAAATTTTGTATGGGTTCAGCACAGGATTGTCTAAGCTGTCTGTCTGAGAACCACTACTGCAGACACCTTTAATGCTTTCCATACCTAGGCTTGCATAACCTGGTGAGTCCCAAGAACTGTTATAAAGAGCTAAAGTGTCAGATTTGCTCATGCTATTGGATACTGAAGAACCATCTTGCAAGGGGGACACAATGTTTCCTGAAATAGGTGGTGTTGGAGAAGAACCAGCAGAGCTAAATGGTGATGACTGACGCCACACATCCAAAACTAATGAATCCGTAGATGTCTCCAGAATTCTCATTGCTTCTCTAGGTGTAAGGCTGTCTGCAGGGATGTTGTTTATCTAGATGATAAAAAAATAGAAATATTTAGTGACCAATAACAATTATAAGAAGACTTTGTCCAACAAGTATGTGTGTGAGAGAGAGAAAGAATGAAAAGGGAAAAATGGGTGAAAGAAATGTGAAGAAGAGGGGTGGGGGGGGGGGGAGAGGGGAAAGTGAGTGAGGAAGTAAGCAGAAAGGGGGGGGGGGGATGAGAAAGAGAGAGAGAGAGGTAAGTAACCAAGAGAGGTTGACTCCCAAGGCAACGGTCTAGGTTTAATTTCCAGCTGATGATTTTTTGGTGCAGTAAAAACAACTCTGGACTAACATGTTTGGAATTTTCTTGGAATAAAGAAACAATTAGCTATACTACTTCATTATGCCATTGTCAATAATCATAAATATGATCTTCTCCATCAGGCAGCTACAAGAAAAGTGCAGGGAATAACAGAAGTCACTGTTAACTGCCTATACAGATCTCACCAAGTTTAGCAGAGATGACCTGTTTAAAATTCTAGATAAATACAGTAGCCCACTCATACTACTAAGCCTCATAAAACCCTTTTATAAAAATATGAAAGGAACCATCAAACATGAGAATTCATCCTCTTCACTCTTCCAGATTTGTAATGGAGTCAAGAGGGGCTGCATTCTAGCTCCCATTCTGGCATATTGATTTTCCTGCACTGCTTCAGCATTCTTTTGAGACAGCCACTGACGGAATATATCTCTGTAGGAGGTCAGATGGCAATCTCTTCAACCTGTCCAGGCTTTGTGCAATACAGAAAAGATGCCTCAGAGACTTTCTGTTTGCGGATGATGCAGTCATTACTGCACATACAGATCTGCAGATTCTCAGCAACTGCTTTGCAAACAAATTTAAAGAATCTGGACTCAAAATCAATGACAACAAAATGCAAGTGATGGAGATGAACATGGTAAACCCACCAAGCATTAGCGTTTATGACCATGAGCTGCTGGCTGTACACAAGTTTCATTACTTAGCCTCTAAAATCTTGGAGGAACTTTAAAACTACAGATACTTACACTAACAATTCTGTCACCAACACAAGGTAGAACTCCATATTTTGCAATAACTCCTGCTGGATAAATGTGACCAATGAACAAACCTTGCTCAATGTGAATGCCTGGATCTGACAAAAACAAATTTAAAAAAAAATGGAAATGAAATCGTTTTAAATTGGGAATTATGCAGTATTTATTACATTTTAACAAATATAGCAGTATTCATTGACACTAACAAACAATGCAATTCATTTTTTTAAAACTATACTGCTGATATAGAAGTCTTAACAGAAGATATAAACTATAAATAGCCTCAAAAGGACAGAACCACATATGTTAGCCTGGCAACTGTACTTATCACTGTACTAATGTAACAATTTGATAATGTGAATGTTTATATGAACTACATCAACAGACAACAAAGCAAATGATTCACAGAAGGGTAAATCAAAGCTGCCACAAAACCGTGCACAACAGAGATTCCAGTAAATCTGATACAATGAAAGAGTTCCTGAAAATAATAGATAGATGGAATATCTTAAGCTGCGAATAGTACACACTAAGGTTTGCACCAAAAGCTTCTTCACAACCTGACTTGAGAACAGAAGAAGGTTTATACAGATAATAAAATGAGAACCAGGGGAAATAACTATATGAGTTGACTGATGTATGTCCAACATTTAATTATAAGAGCTTAAGTTATAAGCACACATTTCATTATTAAGTTACAAGTAGCAAACAGTCATTAGTTATAAAATAACAAACTGACAACTCTGCTATGAGTCTATACATAAAGAGTTAAAACAGTAAGCAGAACCTCGACAGCCTGTATGGAAGCGTTTGGTTGCTGTATAATCAAAAGACCAATATTAATATTTCATATATTACATCGGCTGTCTTCACTTAATATTAAATACATGTTTCGTCCTTTTTAGGACAAAATTTTTTGTTATTTGAAGCCCCACCCTGGCTTTTGCCAGGGGCCGCAATAAAGGCAGGCCATAAATATGGCCAGTTGTCTGAACGCGGTTTCTGGGACCTCTCCACAGCGATCCTCATCCACATGGTGGCACTTTGTGTCATCGGGTGTTTATCGCTTGTGTGATGTCCTAGTGGGGTAGAAAGTCAGTCAGTCAGTCTGTCTTCACTTGCACCATACCAATTACCAGTTCAAACACATGATGGCAATGAGTTCCACTGCTGGATAACTCAGGGAAGTTGATGTGTTTGATACATGCTGTTTAATTGTTAGATGTTTGATGTGTTGTGCCATCAATGTTTATGGCATTTCCTAGCAGTGGTATGGGCACGCCATATGCATAGGAATACAGTGAAAGGTCAGGAAGATCCAGGGTTGTAGATGGTAGATCTCTCAGGCAGTGGAGCACACCAGCTGTTCCTCTTGACAGTTGGATCTAGCTCTATGAGTACTTGTACTATAGGGTGAAAGAGGTGCACTCAGCCCATAAGTCCTGTGGTCAGCAAAACCAATCTCCAGCCAAGACTGTTGTGCATGACTGAAGAGGCACAAAACTACCTTGATTTAAAAAAAAAAAAGCCTAAAGTGGACCCCCTCTAACTCCTCCCTAGCAAGCAGGCAGTTCCAGGGTGCTGTTTACTTCCTGCACTTAAATAATTTCTTCTATGGACTCAAAAATAAAAAAAATCACCACTCCAGCTATGCAGTATGTGCTCTGTGCTTGATACAATCTTCAGCTGGTAACAGAGAGGGTGGAAAGAGGAGAAAACGAGCAAATGGAGAGAGAAAAAGGCATAGAAATAAGAGAGCAGCAGCCCGGAGAGTCAGATGAAAAACAAAGTGTTGCGGGTTAAAGCATATTAGAGTGGTGTAATGGGGCATATTTTCGACCCAGTTTAGGATGGTTGAGGGGAAGGCCCAAAGCTGAACGAAAACACCGAGATAGTCCAGATACTTGGATTAAACAAGAATCTGGAGATAGGTGACTAACCACTAGTTATCACGGGGACCACGATGATGCGACCCAAGGTCGCCACGGGAAAAGTAAAGGACCACCACGTGTTGTCACGTGAAAGGAACCCGTGGTATAAGTCAGACTTGACTCTGGTCAAGTTTAGTTTTGTGTCGACCTGTTGGAGTGAGAGGACGAGCGTCTGAATGTGAGAATGTCTACGTGAGTGCCTGAGGAGAAAGGAGACCTGCCGACGAAGTGTTAAGCTGAGATCGACCATGCCAGCGTGTGAGATGTCCAAACATCAATGTTGAATCCATGGGACCCATCGTTGCTTGAATGCCTGCAGAAGACTGTTCGTTGAAGGCTGCGTGAGTTTGTGTATGAAAGCTGTTCACTAGGACACCGACTGGACTATTCGTTTGTCGTAAGTCTTAATACGTCAATAAATTCATGTCTCATAAGCTCACATCGGTGTCGGCTTGTGCCAGTTGTGTAACGTGGAGCGTGTGAGAATATCATCCACCACACACGGATGAACACTGCTTAGACAACGAGTAGAAATACAAACCACTTATTACAATTGGAGGCTCGAAAAACGGAGATAACCGGGCAACAGATCAGCAACGGCGAGATGATGTCATGAGCTGTTACTTGCCACGCAGACGTTGAAGGGCCATTAGAAGTCAAACGACTGATATATAAGTGACGGAGTCTGCCTGAGAGAGCACAGCTTGTGAAGTCACCGAGTAAAAACATCAGTTGCACAGTGGAAGCCGAAAGTTTTGATAGTTTGGTCAACAGAGCAACGAAAAGTGATACCGGAGACTATCACGAACACGCAGATGAGATTCCATTGAAAGTCTAAACGTAAAAATCGTGATAGACGGCCATGTAAGAGACGATATCTGGTGAAACGCATAGTTGCTGGAATCACCGAACAGTTGCGACAAAATTTAACCTGTAACCGCCTGATGCTGGGTTATGTCATCACGTGGGTGA